CTATCACACAAAAAAAAGAAAAAAAAAAAAAAAAAGCCTGTAAAAAAGGCCAGTAGAATGACCAAGGAAAATAGAGATCCTATCCCAGAACAGAGGACTCAGAAATTTTACTTTGTCTAGTGTAGCAAAATATAGGCTGAAAGGAGATATGAGTGTTTCTCATAACTTTGTCAGTGAGGAAAATAAAAAAATAAAAAAGTGAACAACTATTTAACGAATGAGTATCACAGGTACAAAGTGATTTTTTTTGTCACAAACAAATTTAAATTGCATAGTAGAAAAACTTAATCAGCTGAGGAAGTCTATTTGTACACACTTATTCATTAGGTGTCTTCATAGGAGTACTCATGATCACTCAGGAACTTCTTAAATCTACACAAATAAATTGTGATAGTATTTAAAACTAAAGAGATGATATAAAATTCCTTACAGAACAATTTTCATATGATAACATACCAGCTTTGTATTATACATATTAAACATATAACAGTAGCCTGAATATAATAGGAAAAAATATTTTTCAAAAAATCAAGATTAAATTAAGAGTTGAACTAGAACAGCACCAAATATTGTTAATAATAAAGAGGTTTCCTCAACTGTTAGAATGCAGCAAAATTACCTCTTAATCTAAAATTTTAAATATTCTTGTCAACAGAAGACATCCTCAGTATTCTGGAGTGTAACTGACATAAGAGTACTGGAATACATGTGTAGAAACAGCACAGTGTAAGCAAAAAGAAGATATGCAACTTCAGATAGTAGTGAATTTACACAGAGGAACAGAAAGGCTACAGGAAATCACACTGGCAGCACTAATTCTGGCTTTTCAGGTATTCAGGTATTCTTTTAAAACAGTTTGTGGATATATACATACTAGATGCATTCAAGTATTAAGAAGGAAATAATAAGTTCCTTGGTTGTTCAAGGAATACAATATGGGCAAACTATTCTTCTTTTACAAAATTCCACTGACCTTCTAGATTAATCTAGAAGCATTAGAGAAAAGATATAATCTACCAGATGTTTTCATTTTCTGAATATGCATCCAGATGATGTGTTTTACATTTGACCATTCAAGGTTAAGTCATTACTCTCTCTGATGTGGTTAAGAGGGGAAGGGAGTTATCCATAGTTTACCTATCTTGTGTTCGGCAAACTACCCTGCATCTGTATAGGGTTTCATGTCATATTTTATTTTTTAGGCCCTCAGTTTTCTGAGCCTAGGATACTAAACTAGCAGAAAACTTTAGAACAAGGAGAGAACAGACGCATGAGAATTATCTTGTACAAGTGTTAGAATTATTTGTATAGGAGATAAAGCTTTCTTGACAGCCAGTTGAAGACTGTTGAACAAATTTCAATAAGAATTAAGAACAAACACATAGCAGAGAGTACATGTATTCAATTATTTAAAAACATCCCTGTATGATTTGCCCTTGCAGAGAAAAATAAAGACAGACTTGCAGGTGGGCTATGCTAGTCACACAAACCATACTCTGGGCCTGAATAGAAAACCAGGTCCCCTGACAGGATGATTTTATAAAAACTGTTCAAGCTGAGGTTTACTGATTTTACTTGTGCTACAGTAGGAGATCTTCCAGGCTTTTCTTCCGACATATTCTAATTTTTCAATGCCCCATGAAATTTTTGTTTGATGATGAAAAGCATCAGAATGTTTATTTCCATTCTTGTTAAGAGCAACTTCTCTTTTACCTCCCATTAGTATCTGTCTTTTTGAGAGGATGTCATTACTGCAGACAAATTTGTAAAGCCACATCAAAATGAAGGACACATGAACAGCACCTGTATACATCCCACAGATAAAAAATTGCAGATGAAACCACAAAGAGCTCTGTTCCAAGCAAGATGCTGAACAAACCTGTTACCACAGGTAGCACAGGCACAACTACTGTTTCATTTATGTCTCTAGGCCTGAGGAGCCTCCTTCTGCATTTGTGATTTTCAGGATTTACTGCTCGAGTGAAAAGACTAGCAGGATTTATAGCTTGAATAAAAGGAAAAAATTATGAATTTGTGGATAGAGTTGAAAGAAAATACAACACATTCATGTAGTCAAAATTGTTCCTGGTGACAATGCATTAGAAGCAATATATTTACAAGGAATTAAGAAGCTGTTTTTACTTGGCATTCTTTCATTTGAGTTTCTTCTTTCTGTTCTTATTGGTGGTGTTCTGGGTTTTTTTGGATATTTTTGGGTTTTTTTTTAGTGATGTCTTATTCCATATTTATTTTTCTAACAGATTTTAAACTTACATCAAACTAAAATATTCTTGATTAATTCACTGTAGAAGAAATAGAATGGACAAATGGTATAAGAAATAACAGGTGTACATCTGGACTCTAATAACCAGATGGGCACTTTTCTATCAAAGAGACTAAAATTCTCATACATGTACTGTGATATACTCCTTGGCCAGCAGATGCACAACATGGATGCCGTTTTCTTTCAGATAAGTATGTCAGGGGACATGGAGCATTGTTAATTTCTTCTAAATAATTCAACATACTAATAACAATTTCATAACTCCTTAGATTCATAAGTCCATTTAAATTAGCTGTCCTTATAAGTAAACTATTCAGGACACAAATTTACCCTAGGAAAAACTCAAACATAAGTTTAGAAATAGTCTCAAGACTAACCTTAAATCTAAATGACAAATAGCTCAGAGTATATAGCATTTGAACTAACTTAAATGTTAATTTTTTGCTTCTTGTTGGTAAAATCTGCTCAAATTCTACCATATAAAGAAATAATGGAAGCTCCCTAATTTCCCATAATTTATAGAGGCAAAGATTCTAAGTATAACTTCCAGGTTGAACTGACATCCTTGAAATTTGGTAACCACTCCTCACAAACAGAAATACTTAATGTGACCATCAGAGGAAGAAAAAAAAAAAAAGGGCAAAAATATAAGCTTATGTCATAACTATTAGCAGACTCTAGATAATTGTGGATGTGTGTGTGGATAAATAACTCAAGTAAAAGCCTGCAACTTATTAGCTGCAGTCATAATGTGGCCTTATCGTAAATTTTGATAACACCAAGATCAAACAAAGGTTGCATGTCTTGAATCTTGCAGTTGAGATGACATGGGAGAACCACCAATTTGATCACCTGCTGGGCTTGTGCACAGACTGTTTAGACTGAAAGCGAGAGCTGGGGGTGGTCAAGCTTTCAGACAGAAGAGCTGGTACTGAAAAACAGTAGCTCCTGAAAGCAAGAAATGATGGTGTAGAGAAAGGGGTTGGTAAAGAAGAAGTTAAAGATCTTGACTGGAAGAAAGATTCTGGAACTGTGGCAACAGCCTGGAAATCAGAGAGATGTGGGGGAAAAAAACCCCAGGGCATGCACATGGCCTGTGATTGGTAATGCTCAAGACTGATAGCTTTGGGCAGAGGCTCAGCATGAGCCAAGACATCTTTCTGCTGGAGCTTCCCACAAAATCAAACCATGCTAAATGTAGCACTGGAAGGAAGTAAGTGGGTGAGTGTGTGGGATAACCAGTTATGATAAGAGCTCTAATCTGGTTTGTTCTTAAATAAACCCCATTATCCAGATTCAATATAGACTCTCATTTATATTGTTGCCCCCAATCACGGCTGGGTTGTGTTGCCTAAATGGCTGTGGGGAAAAAAACACTCCAAGCCAAATTAGGTAGGAGATAAGATAAGGATACAAAGGGTTTAATGAGCCCCCAGGCTTTCTGGAATACCCCCAGTGCATGCTCCCGAAATACAGATGTTCACAGTTTTTATAATGATTTTCCCCCAATCCCCGTCCAGCCACCACCCAGGTTCTGCTCCCGCCATGCCTCTTGGGAATTGGGTCTGAGGGTGTTTTGGGACCCCCCCTTCTTCATCTTCATCTTCCTCAGAGCACGTATTGTCCTTGGAGGCCTTCCAGAATTCTAGGCCTGGAGGTTGTTGAGTCTACGGCTGTATCTTCTTCCGTAGGGTTAGGGTGTTCTTCTACAATGCTACCTTGAAAAAGAGACTAAACAGGCTGAGGAATTTAGGGAATTGATATGGGAATGGGTAACAGGGGTTTGAGCTGGTGTATTAAAGGTTAAAGGGATAATATGCTGATACTCTAAAATCTACATTTACTACATAACTACTTCTAAGATCTACAAAAATTAAAAAAATTAAAACATCAAAACTCCAAGGTATCAGTTGACACCAATCATGTCATTTTGAAGAGATTCAAAATATGTGACTCTCCTTGACAGAGAATGTTGCTTTACTTACAATGAAAAAGGAGCATACTAGATAGCACACTATATCTAGCATTCTGAGCTGTGCTATTGCTGTACCAAATATGTTTTGTCTGCTAAATACCCAAAGTTAGTCCGTCTCATTATCATACCTTGCTGGTACATACAGATGTTGCTTTTTAATTGCATTATTAAAATGGGAGCTTTTATTAAATAAAAAAAAGCTTGATCTTAGAGTCAAACACTTTGAGTCAGTGTAATTTTTCTCTTATAGAACCAGAAAAATAAATTTCTAGGATCTAGGATTCATCTAGGATCTCAGTGAACTGGTCAGTAGCTATGATCAGGATAAAAGCACAAAAAAATTTGAAAAATATGTATCCAGAAATCTAAAAAATCAAGTGTCCTCTGAGGGGAGTAGCTGAGCTGTATTAAGTATTATAAATATGTATTTAATATAAGGAATTAGATAACCATAAGGAAAAAAAATAGGTTTGGAGTATATTTAACATGTCTTAAAAATCAGGGCAATCTAAAGCACAAAAGAAAAATAAATACTGCTATAAAATGTTAGTACTGGGGTGGTAAAATGTTGGTATAATTATTTCAAGACAGCTAACCAAAAAAAAATGGTTAATCTCTACAATCAACTACTGAAAAATGTTTTCCCCTCCCATTCACGAATACAAGAGTAATCTGGTTTTACAGAACCACTGAGTATGGGCAGTGAAGTAGGTATTTTTCACAGCACTCGAGAAGTACCATCACCATTTCACGTAACAGGGGATTTTAACAATGATGTGACAGTTTAATGCAAGACCATGGAGACCAACCGCTTTCAGTGCTGTTATAAGGTGAGATAACCATGACAAAATGATTTCTGTATGTGTCTATAGGGAGCCCGTTATGAGTCTATCATTCTGGCATTACAGTGTGAAATTATGACAGGGAAAAAATCATTCAAATTTGTACTGCATGGCAGTGATGCTCCAGTGTGAGTTAATGATATGCAGCAACTGAAATGCAAGCCTTTTTTTTCCCTGTATACTGAATCTTTCTAATCACAAAGCTTTTATTTACAAGTAGTGCAAGAGAACTTGATATAAAGTAAAATATCAGAATTATCTTCAGGTAATCATGTATCCTTCTTTATTAAGTGTAAAAATTCTGTCTTTAGGTTAAATCAAGATGTTTATTTGCAAATTTACCCTCAACAGAAATTCACTTTATATGGATAAATACACAAACAAAATCACATATTATTATTTAATTACAAATTCAATAACCTGTCAGCAGAATCTAAAAAAATAAAGAACCTGCTCCTCATTTACTCAAATTTCTATTTGCTTTCTCCAATCCAATTATTCTTACACATCTGCCAACCTGAAGTTCTTTAGTTAAAGTAATTTTTATCTTGTTCTTTTGGGTGTCCTAACATACGTATTTATGCATCTATTTCTTAATATTTCATTATTAGCCCTTCATGATCAGTGATTTTCTTTAAAGAAGCAGTATGTCCTTACTCACTGATTAAAGGGTATTTTTTTTCTTCATAAAAGCCTCACTTACTTGAAGTATTTTTAGTCAAAATTACTGTTAATTTATTAATAGACCTATCTTTTCTAGGGCTTTCAGTTAAAAAATGCAATTCATGTTCTTTCTAAGTTGTGAGTTTTCTTGATCACTCCTCTGTCCTTTTCCATTTTCCTAGAGTTCATTTTAAATTTCATCTCTGCATAATTCATATTTAGCCAATTTTTTTCCGCTTGCTTTTGTTTAGAGAAGCACTAGCCTGAATGTCCTTTTTTACTGAACAAAGAAGAAAATGGTAAGAAGTCTGTCTATTCAAGATAAATTTACACAGCATGAAAAACTTATTCAGAATTGTTTCATATCTCTTGTACCAGGTAACAAAGTAACTCTTTGATATTGTCTGCAAGAATGTTTGTTTCCACAATTAGTATGGGAATAGTTATAGAGTGTCTCAGGCGTATGATTCCATGGCACAAAGCAATGGAGTTTGAAAAGCCAATACTTCTATATTTTCTTCATTATGTAGTTAGAATTTTTTCATTTAAAAAGTGAGCCTAGTGCTGGTAAAAATATCGGACAAGCATTGTCCTTAAATACAGGCACTTAAACAAGTACAATGACATCCCACAGGTATCCTAAACAATATGACTCATTCAGTCTGTGGAGGGACCTCCATTGAGAGTAAAAGTGAATTTCATTTTCCAATTTCTGTTATAATTTATTATTGAAACTACCTACTGGGAAAGCATGACATGGTAAATTAAGAAGGAAATCAAAAGAAATAGCTCCATGGTAATTTGAGTATCAAAGAGAAAATGTTCACTTGAATGCTAATGTAGGTTTGGGATGTGACACAGAAAACTTGGCATATTATTGTCCAAACACATCCTACAAGTAACTTTAAGTTTAGTATTCTAGGTAAATGCTCAAAAAAATATATAGTCCATAATGGAAACAAAAACATCTACAAGTTGTAACCCATTTTGGCCTTTTGAAAATGAACATGGACTTCTCTCAGTTGCTTAAAGACTTTTGAGCATATCCTATATGAGTTAATAATCTGATTGCACTAATAATATTCTTCATTTTAAAAAATAAAAGTAAGTTGAATTCAATAAAAAATCTTAGAGAGACAGAAGTTTTTTCTCCACAGAAATATTGTGTGAATCAGATCATTTTAGAAGCAGTATAAGTCAGAGAAACATATACCTGTCAGAAACTACTGAAGTAATTGAATAAGTCATCGTCTCTTTTCTCACTCCTGAAAGCTGTTGACCATGAAATAAAGAGTCCTTTCAGAAGAGTTAACATTTTCTTCACATTTCCTTCAGAAATCTTTTCAGTACAATGTTATAAAATTAGGACCCATGCCAGAAAAATCAATTGCGGAAGGCAGTGGAATTTGAAGTTCAAGAGGTTCACTCAAGTCTTAGATATGGTAACAGCAGAGAATTTGTCCTGTGCTACAGATAAGGGCTAAAAATAGTAATATTTATAAAAGAACTTGACAGGAAGAAATGTAGATATAATTAATAAACTAAGCTACTTAGAGATGTGACCACTGTTGTTACTTTCAGTAAAACTAAATTAAAGGTACCTGTGACAATTCATCCCACCCTACTTTGTGAGAGGAAATCAGCTGTTTAACTGCGATTGACAGTCAGTCGAAATCAGGCACCTATGTCCTTAAGGTGCTTTGGAAACTATCTCCTTGAAGGCAGAAAATAAGAAAGAACAGTTCTGCACTTCCTCACATTTGTGATTTCGTTAAGCATTTTTGATAAGGTAAATTCAGGTGGTTAAATGTAATATTGAGACCATGAGAAACACCAAGGATCACCTGCCCAGAATAGAGCTAATGTCTATTACCCACAGACTTCTAAAAAATTATTTTGAGAATGTTAATTACACTATGGTGTATTTTAAAATAAATAAAACATTACTAAATCAAATATAGTCTGAGGCAATGTCAGGAACTAGAATCTATCCAAACGGAAAGAAAAGAAACGCCCAGGTAGGTAATTTATATATTGTGTCTTTCACACAAGGTTTGGTCCATATTAAATTTCTCTTCTTGTCACTGTTCTTCTCAAAATCTGTTTGAGCAGAGTCAGTCTGCTATGTACACAAACCAGAAAAACACTGAGATACTGAGATCTGCTTCAGTTCCTTCATACTTCTGTAGTCTAATTGGATCTAAGAATTTAGCTCTGTTTTACAAGGACTTAAACAAATCCCTTACAAGGAGCTGATTTCCATGAGAATTTGTTTAGGCATAAAGTTTATGTTTCTGATTCTTAATTTTTTTAATCAAAGATTGTATACTTCAAACTACTTTTCTCATGTACATTTCAATAACTTTTTCTTGTGTGCGACAACGTCCCATCCTCCCCCTAATCTGACCTTTATTTCCCACAACTCTGTTCAAGTGATAACCACCAGTGGTGGCTGTAATGGGTGTGTCTAGCTGTGATGGTTGCATTGGACTTGACATGTATTTGAGAGAGGCAGATAACACAACAGCCAAGAGCTAATTTGAGCACTCTCTTGCTACCCAACAATAGAGATGGTCAAGGTCTGGCTCAAGCCAAGTTTGATAGAAATTAACTTCAGTATTCTGCATGAAAATATGGCTATAAGTCAATTATCTTCCTTTATAAAACAGTATACAGCCCAGGGCCTGTTAGCTCTCCTGTATGGGAGTGGACCACACACTAGATTTCTGTTTAAGTAGGGACACCTCTCAAGGTTACTCCTTGGGTTGGAGAGACTCCTTGCTCCAACAGATCCTTGTGTGATTCACAGCACGCTAAGCTTTGAAATCTCAGCTAAGTGTAATAAATGGTTGATTGTGTACATATAATTCCTTTAGACATAAAACATTGACGAAGTTTGGAGCTAGTAGAGGATCCAGTTGCACCTAAACTCCTCTTTGAGAAGGAGTTTAGAAAGCAAGGGGGTCCTTCCCAAATCTCATGACTCAAAGGGGAGGTCTCCCTGATAATTCTGTCTGACTTTGTTGTCTATGCAATAAATAATCAAATGTACCTCGCCACTGGCTCTTGTTAAACCACTGTCACAATTACTATCAAATTTGATTAAATTGCTTTTTTATATCAATAAACATATTGTTACTTCTCTCTTATGAGTGAAGGCACTCCATCTATAATGTTATCAGGTTTATTATAAAGGTTTCTGTGCACCTACTGCGCTACAAAACAGGAGAACCTACTATTTTTATTGAACTTTGTCTTTTCAAAAGCTGTATTTTTTCATTCAAAGACAAAATTTATTTTTAAGGAATCAAATCTAAATGTCTGTTTCCTAACACAAACTTGACAGTAGCTGTGAGTAGAAATTGCTGTTTTGTCCTTCTCAGTAATCCATTCCATCAGCTGCTTAAAAAGTAATTGACAAAGAATATAATATTAGTTTAAATTGCTCTTGAGCGAGTATTCAAAATTGTGTTTGAATAGGTGATATTTATTTACTTAGAAAAAAAACATACAGAGGCTGCCATCCACTATGTGCATCCTGTCTTTTCTACAGTGATTTAATGGTTTCTTGTGCAGAAGTAGTCCAAGACAATTAACAAGCTCATAAATAGTCACAGTGGAGGGAAAATTGCTTTTCCTGCTTTCAAGAAGCATGCATGCAGCTATAAGATAAGATGTTGTCAATCTGTTAAAATCTCAGCATAATCCTTTCTCATCAGATGTTTATAGCAGAGCATAGCATACCTTAACTTACTGTAAGTACTGAAGGTCATTTTTCCATATAGTGTCACATATTGAGAGCGTAAGCAAAAAGTATTACTTATGACACTATGAATGCAAGGAATCACTTTAAAAATCTCTTACTTTAGAATTTACTGACATATCAATTTTAGTTCATTTAGAATAAACTACAGAGATGTACAACTAAGATTAATATTAAATTAGTAGTAAGGAAAATACTTGGTGAAAATAATTAAATACCGAAAAGATAAATGTTTTAGATATGGACACCTTACAAAATTTTCATCAATGCATACAAACTTATTTTTCTCTATCACTGTTAAAGCATTTGTTAAAAATACTGTGATGCCACAGAGACACCATGAGTTTTTACTTTTAAGTAAGTAGGTCACACTTGTGGGTAAAGATTAAAATATATTTCAGAGATACCTACAAAGAGCTCATGAATAAAAAAAATGTGATGCTGTAAGATGTTAATGTATGACGTGAGAGAGGTTAAATGTAAGTAGTGAGAAAATTATGGCAATACTCCACCAGTCCTTGGGTTGGCATTTTTAAAATTATTTGGGAAGGCTTCAGGTCTTCAGAACTTTTTCTTGCAAAGACAATCTTAAGATTCTTAGTGAACGTAATTTGAACAAATATGAAATATTGTATGTAATACAAAGATGAAAAAGACAACCTCTTACAGCAAACTTCATCTCATGTTGATACCTTGGAATTTTGATTTTTTAATTTTTGTAGATCTTAGAAGTAGTTATGTAGTAAATGTAGATTTTAGAGTAGCAGCATATTATCCCTTTACCCTTTAACACACCAGCTACACATAGTAAACCCTGTTACCCATTCCCATATCAATTCCCCTAAATTCCACTAGTCTGTTTAGTCTCTTTCTCAAGGTAGAATTGTAGAGAACATCCTAACCCTACAGAAGAAGATATAGCCATAGACCCAACAACCTTCAGACCTAGGACTCTGGAAAGCCTCCAAGGACATTACGTGCTCTGAGGAAGATGAAGATGAAGAAGAGGGGGTCCCAAAACGCCCCCAGACCCAATTCCCAAGAGGCGTGGCGGGGGCAGAACCTGGGTGGTGGCCAGACGGGGATTGGGTGAAAATCATTATAAAAACTGTGAACATTCGTATTCGGGAGCGCAAGTTGGGGGTATTCCAGAAAGCCTGGAGGCTCATTAAAGCCTTTGTATCCTTATCTTATCTCCTACCTAATTTGGCTTGGAGTCTTTTTTTCCCCACAGCCATTTAGGCAACAATGTACACTTTTTTCCAGTAGTCCTAATAGCTTTTGATTATTACTTATTCTGCTTATTTTCATATATTTACTTCTAAGATGTAAATTTGTAATCATAGAATCATAGAATCAGATGGGTTGGAAAGGACCTCTGAGATCATCAAGTCCAACCCTTGATCCACTAACACCACAGTTACTAGACCATGGTACTCAGTGCCACATCCAGTCTTGTCTTAAATACCTCCAGGGATGGAGAATCCACCACTTCCCTGGGCAGCCCATTCAGGTGTCTGATTATCCTCTCCATAA